CCTCGGAAGGAAGGTTGGGCAATCCTACTTCCGTAGTGATACTGCCTCGGAAACCCAAGGTGGGGTCGCTAGGAGTCGGGGCCGACTCCACGGCACACAACAACAACAACAACAACAGCTAGCTATATGAAGGCTGGCAGTTCAAACCCACCAGCCACTCCTAGGAAGATTGGACAATCTACTTCCCTAGAGATCTAGGGATACCGACTCGGAAACCCAAGGAGGGGTCACTATGAGTCGAATCAACTCGATGGTAATGAGTTTGGGTTTTTTTGGCTTAGCTAACTACCCGACCACCGCGCCATTCCTCCCGCCTAGACCTCACGAAGCTCATTCGAAAAACGTTGGTTAACCCCAAATCGCACTTTACTAGAAATTTAACGCCTACTCTCCTAAATAAGTTGCATCAGAAGGCATCAAGGATCGGGTAGAAAGGTCTGAGTCATCCTCCAACTCCACAGCCACTTAGAAAACAATTATCGCCAATAAAAGGGGTCGCGCCGCCTGCGCCCACACTCGGGACTGCGCCGAGTTCAGGAAGGGGAGCCCGCGGGGTGGAGCGGGCCTGCCCCTCCCCCACCCTGCGCCGCGGCGTCTGACGTCGGCCGCGGAGAAGCAGCGCGGGCAGCCAGCGGGCTGCGGACCGGGTAAGACAGGGCGAGACCCCCAGACTGCGGTCCCTGGAGGCGGCGCAGAGCCCGCCTAGTTTTCCCTCAGCTGGCGAGGTCTCGTCCCTCTCTTCCGCTAGGAAACCACCGAGAGCTGGCCCTGCCCCCGACGCTTCGGTCGAGGGCCAACCGCGCGGAGTGGGGCGGGAAAGGGCCCTGAGGCGCCGGGCGTTACGGAAGGGGGGCGTTACGGAAGGGAGACGTTAGGCTGCGGCCCTGCCAAGCTGGTGGACCCGGAAGTCCTAACTAAGTGCCCTGAGCCTTCTCGCTAGTTCTGCACTGCTAACCGGATAGGGACTCCTGGCCCACCGTTAACCCTTCCCTTCCCGCCCAGCCTTAATGCCAGGTACCACCAGCTAGGAGAAGGAGGGGCGTGGTAAACCCAGGACAGAAACTTGGAGCCCGGGGACTTTTACCCAATTTTCTTTGAAAGGCAACAAAGTAAAAGAACTTTCTTTATTTAGGTGTGAAGACAAAAAAAAAAAAAAATGACGCTGCAGTGGGTGGCAGTTGCAACTTTTCTTTACGCTGAAATAGGACTCATTTTAATCTTCTGTCTCCCCTTTATTCCTCCTCAGAGGTAGGAAACCGGCAACTCATTACAATAATATTTAATTAGGTCATTTAGGCTGCTTAGTGTGATACAGAAAAAGTTTTGATTTAGAAAGTTTTGACATATGATTATATGAAAGGAGCTCTTTAAAATTGCTGATTAGCAAACAAATTAGGTAACTATTAAAATATCACTTTAGATTAAATTTTTTATTATATATGCAAATGATTAACTTTTTTTCTTCTTTCTTTTGGTTCTGTTGATTATAGATATAACAAAGCAATGATTATACTTTTAACACTTCTCTGGTCACCCATGTTTTATTGCCCTAAATTGGACCAGTGAAAACTAAGTATTCTGTTCATAGTACAACGAGATTGTAAAAAATATTTCATTGAGGATAGGGTGAAGTGACAGTTTAGTAACTTAAGCTAATGAATGATGCTTAGTTTGAGCTTCATGTAACCAAGAAATATTTTCCTTAGTGTTTAATGGTAGTTTTACTACTTGTTATCCCACACAGAATTAATGAATGTATATGAAAAGTGCTGAATATGAAAAATAGCAGAACCATGAATTAATGTTAGTACCTGGGTAAGGGATCTTCTGAGAACTAAATATTCTGTCCAAGCATTGACTGCCTTTCCCCTTATATTTATCAGCAGTTCAGTTCTAGATCCAGAAACTTGGTAGGATGAATGGTGGAGTACCCATGTAATAAAAATGTTGCAAGATATTTCTGCATCCTCATACCATGAAGGAAAATCTTTCACGAATGAGATCATTGACATACCCGCTAAAGCATAGTAAATTCATTGAAGAGTTTTACCTCAGCTCAAGGTCTTCACAACTCTTTACTGTACTTGCTCCTTAAGCTACCTGGAGTCCTACTCATTTCTGTCCTTATGTATCAACTATATCAAGACTTTTTCTTCCTTATGAAAGAAAGAAATTGAATCATACTGCAAAAAGGATCCTTAAGATTACTTTATACAGTTTTATAGATCATATTACTGAGACTCAAAGAAAGGAGGTGTCCTAAATAAGGTTACCCATATGGTCAGTGGCAGATTCAAGACAAAAATCTTGGACCTCTCTTGGTGATTTTATTTTGAACCAGAAACATTCAGATTTGCTTTTTGTTAATAGTTAACAACAGTGAAATTCTACATTCAAGGGAAAGAAAGCTGTAATTTATGAACATCTGATTTTTAAATAAAGCTTAAGGGTTTATGAGTGCTCTGGTGGCATAGTACGTAAGGCATCTATCTGACTGCTAACCAGAAGGCTGGCGGTTCAAACCCACTCAGTCACTCCTTGGAAGGAAGACTGGCAATCCGTCTCCATAGAGATACCACCTTGGAAAACCAAGGAGGGGTCACTATGAGGTGGAAAATGACTCAACAGCAGTGAGTAAAGGTTGATAAAAAGTATCTTTGGTTGGTTAGTCTTTCTTTTATCAAAGGAATCCAAGAATTATGGACCAGACTTTTTCTTCCTGTGAAATATATTTTATCTATCCTAGTCAAGTAATTAGGAGCTCTGTGGCATAGTGCCTAAGGCATTTGACTGCTAACCAGAAGGCTGATGGTTCAAACCCACCAGCCACTCCTCGGAAGGAAGGTTGGGCAATCTACTTCCATAGTGGTACTGCCTTGGAAACCCAAGGAGGGGTCGCTATGAGTCGGGGCCAACTCAGTGGCAGTGAGTTTGGTCAAGTAACTATTTGATGGATGTATGTGCATATATGTACACACCATGTATAAATATACCCTTGTGTGCAAAATAAGAATTTGTATGTGCACACATTCATATTTAGAGTAAGTCTTTGTGTGGCCACTTCTTTTTATTTTTTACATGTGTATCACCGTTATTTGTAAAGCCTTCATTTGACTTGTCTCCATCCTTTCCTCACGTGACCCAGTGGTTAAAGTCACGTGCTCTGGAATCACTCTGCCTGCAGTTCTATCCCAGCTCTGGAGGCTATTAACTGTGTGACTTGGGGAAAGTTACTTCCTTTTCTTTATCACTTCCTGTATCTGTAAAATAGAGATGGTAGTATCTATGTCCTGTGGTAGTTGTGAGAATTAAATGAGCTAAATAAAACAAAGCTTAGAACAATGAGAGTAAGAACTCAACATTTGCTGTTATTACTCTTCACTGAATTGTCTTATTATAAACTGTTAGTTATTCTCTCTAGGGGGCCTCTTTTGTGTTCCCTTTTATATTGGGTCCTTGAAAAAAATAAGTGGATTTATACCTAGAGCAAGGCATTACACTTAGTTTTCTTTTTAAATATGAAACTTTTGTAATGTAGAAGGTAGTAGCTTCCTGTATAAAATACTCAGCCTTGAAAGCCTAGAGAGGAAAGGAAGTGCTCCATCTGTATCAGTCTGCCTCTCCCGACCAGCTTCAATGATCACTTAGACTGGAATTCAAAACATTGTAATCACTTGTCATAATTTTTAGGTTAAACTTTTAAATAATTTTTCAAGTTTGTAAGTGTATGTAAGTGCTCATTACCTTTATATGTCTTCTTTGGACCACGTAATATGTTAACTCATTTAAAATGCCCTTGTACTTTCTCCAGTTGGGTGATGCCTTCCTTCGACATTTATAATTCCATAACTCATGCTTTCTCACCTCTTTGTGTTTATATTGTTCTATCCATCTAGACTATTTCCTTATCTCATTTCCTCTCTGTTCAAACCCTGATCTTAGTGATAATTATATGGTGTAAGCATTTGTAAAAATTTATCAAACTACATATTTAACATTTTTGCACTTTACTGAATATTTATAATACTTCAATGATTTTAATTCCCTGATGGTGAAAGTATAGAAACTGTTCTATTTGCAGTAGATACTAAAAGTGTACCATATGAAAATACATAGAGCACAAAACTGGGCTTCCCGCTCCTGAAATGTTACTAGTTGTTAGACCAATACATCTGTTATTTCATAGCTGTTATTAGCCTGACTAGGTAAGAGATGTAAAGTGATGATTTCTATCAACCACACAGTATTTTAATAAAAAATTTCTCTGTAAGGTTTTGATCATGCATATTTCCTTTAAATATTATTTTTACCTTTTTACCTTAAAATATTTAAGCCACTGGATAAAAGATAATCAAATGTCAGTTACTAAATTTGAAAGACTTGTTCTCTATTTCATGAGACATTCTTAAGTGGAAATTTAAAAATTCAATTTTTGTAATTCTTTTCACTCACTCCACAAGGGCCAAAATGTTTAATTCAGTATTTAGAAAATAATACAAAACTTCATTTAGTGTTTTACAACTGTTGTAATTATATTGCTTTACAGATGGCAGAAGATTTTTTCATTTCATGTCTGGGGTAAAATTGCCACTTTTTGGAACAAGGCTTTCCTTACCATTATAGTCCTACTGATTGTTCTGTTTCTGGGTAAGTACTGGGTTGCTCCTTTGAGTAAACATAACTCTAGGTTTTCTTCATGAATTCATTGTTTATTGACTAATTAAGTTGATGGTTGCTATTGATGTACAGTTGACTTTACATGTATTGATAGTGTATAGAGGAGATACTAATTTATTGATCCACAAGTGATAAATATTACTGTTCTCCATGGACAAGTACAGATTTCATCAGAGTACAGTGGTTTCTAACTTGTTTGACACATACAGATGCTTTTTAAGTATCTTTTGAAAGCTGTAGAAACTCTCTCCTTAGTAGAAGATAACGTGTATCTATGGAGGCACAACATAATTAGGGTAGTCACAAGATTTTGAAGCCTACCCACAGAAAGTAGGTTGAAGAATTCTGGATTCATAGTTAAATGCAGGAGCTTTAGAGGCAGGCAGATATACACCTTACCCACTTAGTCACAATTTTTCCATTTCAGGATAGGGTAATGACACCAAATTCACTGAATTGTTTTAAGGTTTAAATGCAGTAACCTTCTATCCTCAGTTTCCAAAAACAAGGTCATTGTGCAAAACTTGATGTTTTATGAAAATAGAGGATGCCTATATCATTACATAACTGCCAAATTACATCATTACTAAAGTACCAAACCACTGACAGTCGTGGCCCAGCCAAATGACATGTAACTTTAACCATCACAGCCAGCTTTACTCTCACCTCACACCTAGGCATTCGTTACTACCAGACATACATCATTAATGCTCAAAAAGTCAGATAGTGGATGTTTTACAATTGCCGTAAATGTGAAATATAAATGATAATGAGATAGTGGGCAAGTAAGGAGAGAGTGTAATATATTAAAACTCACAGCCAAGTTCTCGCAGTTACCACATCTAAAGTTAAGGATCACCATATTTTTTCAAAGTAGCTGAATTCAGAGCAATTAAATGACTAAGATCAGCCCACTACTTTTTTGTATTTCTGTTTATAATATACATTCCAGAGTGTTTTCCCTCAGAAATCCCTTACAGTAGTTGCATTGTGGCTTAAATAGAACCAGCTATTATAGGAACCAACTCAGGACCCTAACCACCTGAGACCAGGACGCTACTTTGGGGAAAAATGTGTTCTGTGTTCCAAACCACTAACCTCTGAAATGGAACCATCTTTGTAAAACTGGGAACATCTTCTGTGAGAGGGTGTGAGTATCATGAAAGATAGGAAAGTAATTGTATTTTGATATGTTCAGATGTTTGTGCCTCCTTCCAAAATGCCAATGATGTTTTTATCATAGTACATTATTGCTAATTTTATAGATTGAATCTCGAGCCATGTAAGAAATCACAATAAAAGAATAAAGAACAGTTAGGAAAACAAGTCCCAACTCTGCCACCAGCTAGCTAAATGACCTTTTGGAATGATGTGTCATTTTTCTAAGTTTGGCTTATTCATTTGTAAAATAAATAGAGAGAAAGAAATAATCTCTGCAGATTCTATTAGCCCTAGAATAGTATTGTGATCTTCAAATTCTAAAATTACTAGAATTTCTACCGAAAGCTGTCATTTATTTAAAGGAAGGAAGCTATGCTGAAGGTTCTTTTTGTTACAAATATCAGAAACCAGCTTGAACCAAGGAAAGAAAGGAAGCCAAATTCCAGGGAGGGACTAGACTAGAGATTGAACTGTTCTTTTTTTGTTTGTTTCTACATTTCTCTTTGTGTCTACTTGACTCTTCTTTCTTTCCGTGGGCTCTGATCCTCTCTCCCAACCAGCTGCCAGGTGTGATAGTTCCAGTCATTCACACAGACCAAATAACCGTTTCTAGGCCCAATTCCAGCTAACATTTGTAAAGTATATGACAGCAATAGCACAAAGGATGGGGAGTAAATGGAATTATTCTATTCAAAGTTCTTCTATTTTATGTTAAATGATACAATAGAAGTAGACTGTGATCAATCAAAAATACATATTATAATCAATAGAGCAACCACTGAAAACATTAATTACAAATAGGTAGCTCTAAGAACACCATAAAAAAACCCAAATTCATTGCCATCAAGTCGATTCTGACTCATAGCAACCCCCAATGGGTTTCCAAGGCTATAAATCTTCATGGAGGCAGACTGCTTCATCTTTCTTCCACAGAGCAGCTAGTGGGTTCAAACCACTGACATTTTGGTTAACAGCTAATTGCCTTAACCACTACACCATCCGAGCTCCTAAGAACACTATGACTTTAGACAGAACCAGACTCACTGCCACTGAGTCAGATATGACTCATAGTGACCCCTCCTTGGGTTCCCAAGGCATTATCTCTACGGAAGTAGATTACCCAGTCTTGCTTCTGAGGAGTGGCTGGTGGATTTGAACCACCAGCCTTCTGGTTAGCAGTCAAATACCTTAGGCACTATGCTACCAGAGCTCCCAAGAACACCATAAAGGATTAAAAAGCAATACTAAACATTGTTGGATTAACCCACAAGGTGGCAGAAAAGTAGGAACAGGAACAAACAACTTAGGACAAAGAGTAAAATGTTAGACCTAAGCTCTATCATAGCAATAGTTGTTTAAATATATAGTTATATTATATTTAAATTGGACTAAACACTCCATTTAGGAGCTCTGGTGCATAGTGCCTAAGGCATTTGACTGCTAACCAGAAGGCTGGTGGTTCAAACCCACCAGCCACTCCTCAGAAGGAAGGTTGTGCAATCTACTTCCATAGTGATACTGCCTTGGAAACCCAAACCCAAGGAGGGGTTGCTATGAGTCGGGTCCGACTCAACGGCACATAACAACAACAAGCACTCCATTTAAAAGATCGAGTTTATAGACTGGATAAAAAAGCAAAACCCAACTATATGCTAAATACAAGAGGTGTACTTTAACGATAAAGATGCAAAGAGGGTGAAATAAGATATGAAAAAAGTAACAAGCAGTAGTAAGCATAAGAAAGCCAGTGTGGCTTATAGTAATATCATACAGAGTAGACTGTAAGAAAAGGAGTATAAACAGTACTAAACAGAGTTATAATAAAACAGTTCATCAGGAAGACAATCCTAATTTATAGGCACCTAAAAACATATATACTTCAAAATATATTAAGCAAAAACATTTTTTAAAAAAAGGAGAAATATATAGCTGCACAGTCATGATTGGAGATTTTAACACCTGTCTCTCAGCAACTGATGGAACAACTAGACAGAAAATAAAAAAGCATACAGACATTTTTAGAAAACTTACTCAATAGCCATTGAATACATGTACACTATATTCTGTTCATCAAGTTTATACTATATTCTGGGCCATAAAGGAGCTCTGGTGATGTAGTGCCTAAGGCATTTAACTGCTAACCGGAAAGCTGGCAGTTCAAACCCACCAGCCACTCCTTGGAAGGAAGACTGGGTGATCTACTTCCATAGAGATACCACCTCAGAAACCCAAGGAGGGATCGTTATGAGTCAGGACCAACTCAACAGCAGTGGGTTTGGTGGTGGTGGTTTTTTTTTTTTTTTTTTTTTTGGTGGTTCCGAGCAGTAAAAACAAGTCTCAGTAAATTACAGAGGATTGAAAACATATAGACTAGGTAAAATAGAAGTTAATAACAGTACTTGGAAAACTTGCACATATTTGAAATTGGACAACCTGTTTGTCGTGACCTATGGGTCAAAAAAGATATCACAAGGGAAATATTTTTTAAAAAATCATTTTGAATGCGTAGATGAAGTTTTATTTAATACTCTTTGCCAATACTATAATTCAAAGGCATCAATCTTATTTGCTTTTCCTTATTCAGCTTTCACATGTATATAACACAATTGAAAATACCAGGGCTTGGATCAGACACACCTTAGTTAGTCCTTATGCTAGCAGCAAACAATTGGAAAATGACAATTATTTTTAGTTCCTTCTATAACAACATCAGGAAGCTTAAAAACCTTAGAAATAAACTTAATAAAATGTATTTAAGATTTCTACACTGAAAACTACAAAAAAAATTGGTGGAAATTTAAGAAAACTTAAGAGATATTTTCATTATTTGGAAGACTATCATCACACTGTCTATTCCTTGAAACGGATTTATAGGTTGAAGGTAGTCCCAGTCAAAATCCTTACAGGCAATTTCAATGGAAATTGGTGAATTCCTTCTAAAATTTTACAGTGGAGAATGCTGGTGGTCGCCATCTTAATTAAGTAACCAAATTTAGCAACACCCAGTAAGGAAGATTGGGCAATCTACTTCCATTGTGATACCGCCTCAGAAACCCAAGGAGGGGTCGCTATGAGTCGAGGCCAACTCGACGGCACATAACAAGTATGAGACAAGCAGACGTTATACAGAATTACCTGTGAAGGATTTTTGCCAAAGTATATAATCTGATCCAATTAAGTCTTTATACATAACCTCTAGTTTTCTAGAAATACAGAAATTAGAGGAATATATTAAACTATGACACAATCAGACAAATCTTGAACATAACTCTATAAAACAATAAGTATTGGTAGTGCAATGGTAAAGGCACTGGGTTGCTAACCAGTAGGTCAGCGTTTGAACCCCACATCTGCTTCATAGAAGAAAAAACCTGGCAGTTTGCTCCAATAAAGATTATAGCCTAGGAAACCCTCTAGGGCAGTTCTCTCCAATAGGATTGCTGTGAGTCAGAAACGGCTCAGTGGTATCCAAAAACAGCGATAACAATAAAACAGTTGGCCTGGACACATTAGTCAGTGTCTTCTACTAAGGCATTTGTTCTTGTTTGTGTATTCATTTGGGGAGACTCCGTAGGCTCCAGAGTCAGGTTGGCTGAAATCTTCACAGAAGTCGCTTACCAGGCCTGACTCTTCCATGGTGCTGCTGGGTGGGTTCAAACAGGCAACCTTTGGGTTACTAGCTGAGTGTAGACCATCTATGCAACAGGGACTTTTAGTCAATGTCTTATTTTGATTTTTTAAAAGAGTTCTGTGTTAAAAGAGACTAAAAAAATAAACAACGATTATTAATCATATGTAATTAGTGGTCA